AAAACACATACAATAAGCAAAAAAATAAAAAATAGAAACACATATTAACACAAACAATGGCGTATTTCTGGCAGAAGAATTCAGCATTTTCTTAATTAATGATTGGATGATGTACTTGCTAAAATTGTGCGCGTGTGTGTAAGGGAGGTGGGGGGTCTCTCCGCCCACGGACGATGTATGGCTCGCCGACGTCTACATTATTTTATCCAATTGATGAAACGATGAAACGTCAATCTGACTCGGCGCCTCTTTTTCTTTTCCTCGTAGCACGAGGCATGAGAGCAGCGGCATGAGTGGTCGCGCAATGAAAGGTAGCACATTAGACGTGTTCACAAAGCGTAAAGTCGGTCTGCTCATGAAGTAAGCCTCTACGCTATGACACTTTACATTCTTCAAAATGAACATGGAGTCACTTTCCTGCAGAGCACTCGGCGAGCCAGTGACTCTGATCTACAGCGAATAAAGAAGACCAAGGTACGTTTATACTTGGGCGTAACACATCGATATACAATCTATTATAGCCGCAGCTGTTAGTGGGTATACCTCCCAGTAAAATTGCACGGTCCTCCTTCGCGAAAACTCCCGGAGAATTCATCAATCGTCATGATGGCTCCCGACCGCTACCGCCATCACTAAGTTTATAAGAAAGAAAAAAACTTTTCTCCGTCGACCCGGATTCGAAAAAGCGACCTATGGATCGCAGCAATCGTTTTTTTGAGGTCTACCACTCTACCAACTGTTTCCTACAGTCTTCCGCTCTACCAAGTGAGTTAGCGACAGGACATACAATACTGAATTACAGTGCGCCGATAAACTGAGAGAGAGTAGGAGACGAGCTCTGGTTCGAATGATTAGTGGGTCGATCTAAAACTAGCTTCCTCTTTCTCCACCATAGAATTATTGTAATGTTCGACAGGGGTTCAACTGGCGCTAGTGTCTATGCGGGTTCCGGGAGGTAAATTGAAGCAGACAGCAACCAGTCCACTTTTGCGGTGCTCCTGCGCATTCCCATTGGAGATCCACGTGCATTTTGTCTCTTCGTGGAAAAATAACGTGAGACTCTTCTGTCTTTTTCGATCGTACCGAATAGTATGTACCTTTATTAACATTATAAAAGTGCTCTTGCTTTAGATAGCGCATTTTGTTTAATCAGTGACCGATGTTTACCTTCGCTATATTTCAAGCCCACACCTGTGTTCCACAGCAGGTGTGTAAAAATAAGCGACTATTCTGAGCAAAATAACAACCAAAATGAATACAGGGTGTGTTCAAGGTTCGACAATATTCCGGTAACGATTATATACTACTTATATGTCAATTATGTCATTCTATGAAAATGTACCCGTCTTGCATCTTTAGGAGCGGTTGAAAACATTTAAATACTGAGTGTAAATATGTGGGCCATGAAAGGTGTATCCTTTTATTATTTTCTACGCCAGGGTTACTGCGTAGTTATATCGTCTCTTTTGCTTTTCCAGATGTGGTCCATTCGTTTGGCGCGTATATCTCGTATGCTGAAAAGCGCCGACGTCATGTTCGCGCTAACAGTGTCCGACAGTGCACATAAATACACGTACGAAGCCGTTTTAGCACCGTTCTTAATGCGTCGAATATGAAAGAAAAACGTTGTAACTGATCAATTATTTCGTCTCCCTAACTGAGAAATGTTCCATGGTACCGTACGAATCATTCGGGATATTTGCTCTTATGATCGAGCGCAGGGAGAAGATGCACGTACTTTTCCCTGTAGAAATGCATTACCGGAAGTCAATTTTAGACTAGTTGCTCTCTGTTTCAATAGACAATTTCCGAAATTCAGTGCCATCTGGTGGTTTGTAAAGCAGTTTAGGTTTTGCCATATCAATGGCGGAAATAAACTTGTATCGGAACCGTCACTTTCGCAAGTCAACGGCACGCGAGGAATTGTTCAGTGTGAGTTATTTCTGGATCACTTTCAGTTCGATGGTGACCAAGAACCTGCATTCAGAATAAAGCTCCAACCCACTCAGATGCCTCGAGAAAATTCTATACACCAAAGTGCTTTAAAGCCGATTGTGTGCCGCCCACAGATTGACTGAATCTGAGTTATTAGAAATAAACGCTTACGTAGCTCTTGTGTTCCATTCCTATGTCGCGGCGTACTGACCCCCCCGAATGTACAGGCCTCGCAACATCCACTTAGGAGCATCTGCAACGTCTTCCTTTATCAGTCACTAGAAGTCCGCCATTGGTATGGCACAGATGCCGTTCCACAGAGGCCGTTCCACAGATGATGATAGTGATCAAAGTGGCCAGACTGAATTTCGGAAAGGGTCTATTGGCGATAGCACACCGGAGCCGTGAATATATATAGAGAGTTTGGCCATTTTTTTGGGAAGTATAGGAGACAAATGAGGAGGCACCATTGGCCGAAAGCGGGCTGGGCGTGTTCCAGGGCGTCTTCACAAAGTCAAATGTGGCCAACCAGAAGCCGGCAATAATATCCTGGCGGTGGTCGCGAGACACAAATTGAATAAGTGCGTGGCATCGAGTAACTCTCGGTGATTGAAAATATGGTGCACGCAATGTTTCGATTACGGTCATCCAAAATCATGGTGGAAGAGTGCGATTAGCGGAAGGATCGACCATAATTCGTACGCCAGCCGCCGCGCGCCCCGGCCTTTGTGGTGCTCTCTTTCACCCAGCCGCCGAGCGGTCACACTCTGTCCGAGCAAAACAGAGTTCGAGCGGCACATTCGTTTCTTACATCTCTCTGCATTACCATGAACGAAACATCACGTGCACCCTATTTTCAACCACGAAGGGTTACTACATTTAACTCCTACGCGCTTATTAAAACCATATACTTTTGATTAAAACTGTTTCTCGCTACCACCACGAGGGAATTCTTTTCGACTTCTGGTTGTCCAAGAGAGCATGTCAAGCTCTCTTTCTGCGTCTGGTGCACGCCCTGGCTCTGCCCGCTCCTCCCATTGACCAAACTCTTTCTATACACAGCTATGCAACACACTAGCGCCAGTCGAACCTATGGTCTGCAGTGCACTCGTCGAATGTGTTTTGGAACGCGATAGCCCACGTCCGACGTCAGCGGCTATCGCATTCGAACGCGTTCGACGAGCGCAGTGGAGACAAAGGCGGGGAGCTCTAGGTCTACCCACTAATCAATCCGACCACAGCTGGACGTTCTGATGTACCTTTGCGATCTCGTCTTCTCCTCTCTTTCAGCTTATTCGTTTCCTTCATAACGCTTCGGGATCTCGAGTGTACACGCGACGGCAGGACCGGCTTGAAACAACGTCTCAGCTGAGACTACCGGAAAGAAAGCACTGGCAAAGCCAGCGCACGAGCTGAGCGGGACTCAAGCCGCGTCTCAAGACACTCGCGCGCCCCAGCCTTTGTGGTGCTCTCTTTCACCCAGTCTGAGCTGAGACATCAGGGAGTTTTAGGATATCGTATTCAAAGGCCCGCTACCGGTACGGGCGCGCGCTACAAAGCATGAATCGAAATGGCAGCGCGAGCTCCCTCTATAGATAGCGTGGCCTGAAAACGCAATCTACTAAAACTCTATTGTTCTAGCGAGCCAGCCCAGAGGACGGCAAGAGGTATTGAGGGCGTGCTGAAGGCCGGGCGTTAGAAAGAGTCTTCACACCGTTCTCACCTTGACACCGACTACATGGGCAGAAACTGACGGAGAAGATGAGAGCAAGTGGGGGCGTTACACCACCGAGCTCTGATTAGAATGATGAAGTGGACAGCCAGAAAGCTAGCTGCCTTTGACTCTATACTCACTGTTCGAAAGCGAACGCCAAGCGCCGGCGTTCAAATGCGTTCGAAGAGTGAGTAACGAAAAAAGCCGCTAGCTTTGCGGCTATCTAGTAATCATTCCAACTATAGAGTACGGTGATGCGACGCCCCCGTTTGCTCTCATCTTCTCCTCTCCATTGGTTTCAACCTGTATGGACGTTTTCTGTTTCCTGTAGTTCTCAGTCCCGTGGGTTCCATTTCTGGTATGCGGAGCGAAAACATAATAAAACATTTCCACCTGGAATACGCGATAAAATATAGGTGAGGCAAAACAAGAATGTGTTTCCATCACGAATTTTTCGTAAGCACCTTCGAGCGGCGCGTGGAAAGATCAAAACGATGTTTACATAGCAGAAGTGGCGGCATTCGAGATGGCTACGCCGTTCAGGAAAAGGTGAAAAGGTGTGATTGTGCGCACGACCATCCTATCGAAAGAACACGCACGCCGTATGTCTATACTCCGCGATAACTTTTCTTGGCAATGCAGTGGAAGGTACAGGCCCGCCTCCCCTCTCCCATTTTGAGTGTACGCAGGCTCTCCTCCTCTCCCCAGAAATGGGGGAGGAGGAGAGCCTTCGTACACTCAAAATGGGAGAGGGGACGCGGGCCTGTACCTTCCAGTGCATTGCCAAGAAAAGTTGTCGCGGAGTATAGACCTCAGGAAGACCGTAGCGGGTTCGAAGAAGGCGTATTTCAGTTTGCGCTGAAGCACCCAGAATACAAAACCTGGAAGAACCACACAGAAGACGAGGACTTCCCTCTCCCCCCTCCAAATATCATCACTAGCGGATCCATGCAGCGCCGCCTATACGTTGCGTCAATATCGTCGCCAGCGCGTGTGGCAGCGCTTCGCAACGAGACGCGTCTGCCGGTTTCCGGCGTCTATCGTCGAGCTCCGGCGTTTGCGCCACTTGTCGGGGATCCACTAATGATGACGTCATGCGTAGGCCTTATCTTCTATACTCCGTTTAACGCTTTCGAGCCATCCCAGCCTTTCCAGCTCTGTGAAAGCTGCGCGTGATACTCTCTCCGCGCATCACTGTGCCCACTCTTTGATGTCACGTACAACTCAGGTGGCCTTGGCCCCGATGGCTCGTAGCATCCGCTGCGGTAGACACGACAACGGCGCCATGACCAGGATAGCTAACTACGCAAGCAGCAAACTGCCGTCGCTGTGACACACGTTACGCGGTAGCGTAAATTCACTCGGATTTTATTGAGAAGTGGCGGGGCCGCTCAGTACTCGACGGTGACGCACTTGACATGGAGGTACTCCTTGAGCGCCTCCTCGCCCAGGTCCTTGCCGAAGCCCGACTGCTTGCATCCCCCGAAGGGCGCCGCCACGTCCGTCTTGTTGTAGCAGTTGACAAAGCACGTGCCCGCCTGGAGGCCCTCGCTCACGCGCAGCGCCTTGGACAGGTCTCGGGTGAAGACGCCCGACGCCAGGCCGTACTCGGTGCCGTTGGCGCGTCGCAGCACGCCGTCCACGTCCCTGCAAAGGGCCATCGGGGAAAAGTCACAACAAATCTCTTACCGAAATTGCTACGAAGATCGTCATTGGAATGCGGTATCATTATCTGTCGTCATGCACTGCGTAAACATTTCTTAGCAAGTGCCGTAAAACTAGTGAAGATATTTTTCTCCCACGTTCATAAAGTCGTTTTATCGTATTTAAAACCGCTTTACGTAACTTTTGATTCAGCTGTCTACAGTCTGCGGATGGGCCAAGCGCGACCAACCAATGATTTTCCTTGTAGAATCACTGTAGTTCAAATGTTTCTCCCTTACTATAGACGTTCCTCGCTTCCTTTCGCTCTCTGTTGCATGGGTTCCGTATTTATTATGCAGGGCGAAAAAAAAAAAATCAACCTGGAATATGCGAAAAAAAAAAAAATAGGTGAGGCGAAAAAAAAAATGTTAATCACGCATTTTTCGCGAAAATCTTCCAGCGACGGGGAGAGATCAAAACCATTTTTAACGTATACCAAAAGTTACGACATTCAAGATGACTGCGCCCTCGCGGAAAAGATCCATTTTGTCTTTTAGCGACTTGGTAACCTTTGTTTCAATGGACCTTTCTGGAAGCGCGAGGGTCACCAGTGAGTGCTTCGGGCCATTATAGAAACTGCGAGAGTGGCGTGGCCTTTGGACAAGCCAACTGGAGCCTGGTGGAGCTTTTGCATGCTAGGTGGCGCACGCTACCACCCGAACTCCGGCAGCATTCTTAATCCTCAAGCATCCAGGCGAGATAGCGGTTTTCAAACATTGTTAAACAAAACTGCGTTTTTTATATTGGCGAAGAAAATTAATTTATCAACTAGCCCTACGTATTGCCGTAGCAAAAAAAAAAAAAAAAATACGTTGGGTGCGTGAGTGATATCTCGCTCATTTGGTGCGTGGCCGACGCGCGATGGCCCATTAAAAAAAATAAGGGTGGCCCATCCAAACAATGGACCGTCCAAAAAAAAAAAAAAGGTAGTGGACAGACGTGCTGCGTGCCAGGGTGCGACCAAAACACCCTTAAAGATCATTACCGGTCATAGCATCTGTGGTTCTCGCAGGCGGTATGGCGGTAGCAGCAGACGACGGAGCAGCGACGCTCACTGTTCCCATAATGCCTCACGTGCGCCGCTTTAAGGCGCGCGCTACTTTCCAGAAAGGTCCATTGATCAAGCACTGTTCATTCCTCTGCATACTTTCGATATAAACATCATACGCATAAAACTTTCTAAGAACCTTGGTAACTGCATTTGTCGTTCAGGAGCTAATATATTGTATCACATACGTTGGACCCATTACTCACCGTACGCATACTTAAGAGTCAGTATGTGCACGTTACATAAAAAAAGAAGCGATTACAATTACAATTACTCTTCGTTATTCAATTGGATTACTTAATTAATTGACAGGTTAATGGTACGTTGATGGTGGCGATCAAGGAAAAAAGCTGTATGTCACAACTTGACAAGTCCTTGACCGCCTACAAGGCATAGTAGCAGCAGCTCGGCGGATAAAAAGAAAAATTCCCAAATCTTGATTACCACAATTTAACAATGCGCGTTTCAGGCATAATATATTTTATCATCGGCTATAATAGAGAAGTGACCTATTTGGAGACAGAAGTTATGAGACCTCACAAGTTTTGTTCATACTCAGATTCGCCTGTGTCACAGAATTAGTCGAATTTCTCTAAGGGACAACATACTGAATTTCAATCCTTTATCTTCAAGTAAGTTAAGTATTTTTGGGATAGTATGTTTAAGCATTTGTGTCCCATCGTTGGTTCTTGCAATGACCACCTCCCAACATTCCGCACGTCGGGTAGAATACGCGTGAATATTTTTTTAGAGAACTGCCCAAGGTTTATTAAAAAGTTTGTACGCCTAATTTGTTCTATTTCTAGACTAGGAACAAGTCTATAGCTAAATAGAGGATGTATATTGATACCGCGAAACTCGAGAAATAAACTAGCTATGTGGAAGTCAAACGAAACGTCTTCTTTACATAGCCCTTAACGCTTTTCTTGCAACAAGTGTATTTTTTTCTCTATTTTCCGACGTTGATGTACCCCAGACTAAATGACAATGATGTATGTGGAAGTAAAACATTTTCACCTTTGCTGGAGACATATGCAGGTGGTGGTTTATCACACCTACTAGTTGTAACAGCTTAGAAATATGAAAGTTGACATGAATACTCCATGACATGGAGTATTCATGTCATGGAGCTGGAAAGAGTTTACTAGGCTCTATTTTGGGTGAGTTCAAAACGATATATCTTGTAATTGCGACTAGCAATTATGTTTTGGGCGCGAGCGAACGATGATAAAGACGTAGCGCTCCCCGCATGCGTTTCTCGGTAAAGATTGGGGTTGGAGGCAAGTTGGTTTACAATACTTAGAAATACTTTAACAAATCTCGCACTCCTTCGTTCTTTTGACGTTCACGTGGAGAATTGGTGCTTAAAGGGGAACTCTGGTGATTTTTTGATAGCCTCCGATTTGGCTGGAAATTGGCAGACCGTATCAATACCCCTTTCGCAACTGATAGCCAAAGTATTTTATAAAACTAAAACATTTCCGCCAAGTTACTGAACTTTTGAGTTACTTCGGCCGCGAAGGTTCCAGGATGTGACTCTCCTGGTAACAATGACAAATCTCTACTTTTTCCTACCCGCGTACGTCACCGGCGGGCAGGCCGACGAGCCACCCGGGCAGCCGCGAAGTGGTCTTCCGGGCGCCAGCGAACAAAAGTTTTTTCGCAACTTCAAGGTTAAAAATTTCTTTGAATGGGTAGCAATCTGTGCTCCGCGGTAGGTTGTAGGAATAGTGCATGCCGGGAAAAAGCTTCTTTTTTAGGCTTGTTTTTGTGAGAGAAAACAAATGCTTTCCTTGGAGACCAGCAATGGAGACCAGCCACGTCAAGGTGCTTTTGCGCGAGCTGTGTGCCGAGAGAACTAGTGTCACGGGAAACATTTTCACTTTTGCTCGGAATACTTTTTTTGCCGCGTGCTGCGAGTGGAGTATACTTCAGCAGCTGGAACAGCTTTAAGAGCAGCAAACGCAAACTCAAGCCGGCTGTGACCACTACGACATTCGTCCAACAACGAGCGCTAATAATATCGAGAAAAAATAATAGTGCACGTTTTAGCGCTATACTAGACCTTGTTGTTCGCAACTGCTTCAGGGATTTTTTCATTTTTTTTTTTCATAAACATTATGTTTGTATCGGACATCGAATCGATCTCTGGCCACTGTCGGAGTTCCACTCACGCGGCCGATTTGCTGAAGACCAGAAGAGAAACGTCTAAACAAAGTTAAAGTCTCAGTTTAGACATTACTTTCGACAGCGCTGTTCGTGTCTGGTATTACAGAGGCTCATGCAGCAGGTGTTGAAATCCATTAATATACGAAAGAGTTAATGCTGTGTTTGTCAAGCGGTTGGCGAGCAATATTGTCTCGCAGAAAGGGTGGTGAAAACGTCTTTATTATCTATTGTGGAGAAATGTTATATAGGGCTGAAAATGTTTTTAAAACCATGAAAATGATTAATGTCTTTGAGGAGAGGCATGCAAATTTACAGCTGATGGAGGTTGCGCAAAAACCAAAATTTAAGTGAAAAAAATTAAATAGATTTTCCTTTTTCCCGCGTGCCCTTGTCGATGACATGTTTGAGCGCGTTGCAATCTTCTGCGACAGAAAGAAAAAAAACAAAATATTGTTACAAATTTTTTTAGTATTTTTTGTTAACTTTTTTTTTATTTAAAAATTTGATGCTCCGTTTCTGTACTTTACGCACTATTGTATCTTCGAGCAGTTATTCTTTATTTGAAGATGAACAGTGTATTTGTGTATATCATACGTCTTTCACTGACACCTTGATGTTCGGTGGTTGCGGAGTTGTATTAATTGTCATTTTAGCACAATCTTTATGAACCAGTAACCAACCATCTGGCCTACACGAATGCGGTTCTTTCCATTCCATACATTTCATTCTTTGCGAGAGTCAGTCTAGACGTGTTAGTTCAGAGCCCAGCACGCGCATGTTCGCCGCGCATTCTACAAGCAAAGCCGAGCATTCAAAATGCATGTGAAATATAACAATGCTATCCTGAGAATTACAGTAAGATCTTCCTTGGAGCACGCCTCGAACCTTCGGTGTTTACCTTCACGCAGTGAACTTTCAGGCTTTTCAAGCTCTCTATGTGCTTTTAGGGAGAAAAAGTGTTCGATAAACCACAGGAATGTTTTCCCTGTGGCATGCGTGGCGGTGATTACAAACCCATCAGTAAACAGCGATCGCAGACGGTCGGATCCGTCGGTCGGTCACGTAGTGTCACCTCTTGTAGCGCCCTCTAGGGGAAGGCGGAGTAAGCACGCAGGAGAAGGGGAACATGCTTTTGCGGTGCTCCTGTGCATTCCAAAGGGAAAAAGCGCGTTCATTTTGTTTCTTTGCCAAAAATAACATGAGCCACACTTGTTATATCGGTCGCACCGAGTAGCATACACCTTTATTTTCATTGTGGACGTGTAATTGCATTAGCTACTATATTTGTCTTCACCAGTGAACCATGTAAAAATTCGCTATATTTAAAACCCAGACCTCTGTTTCATGGCAAGTGTGTGAAAACGAGCGACGATTCTAAGCAAAATAACAATCTAAAGGAAATAGTGGTGTCAAGGTTCGCTATCATTCCAGTGGCGCTTATATGTTGCTGACATTCCAGTCTTTTCACTGCAGGAAAATACCCCCCTCGGGCATCTTTACGAGGGGATAGAAACATTCAAAACGTAAAGAATAAAATATGGTGGCTATGAAAAGTGTTCCTTTTTATTTTTTTCCATCCTCGGCAGCTTCTATGGGGACCTGTTGTATGGCTTTTTTCCAATTCTAAAGATTTTGATGTTTCGAAAGCACAACAAGCATCTTCGCAGATATGCAGGAGTAGAAAGAATAAAGCGGTACTTTTTTTATTGCAAATCGAACTATAGTA